ATCCTCTGTGCAGTGACCACCCCCATGACACACAGCCTGCTGTGCCCTGGCAAGCCGTTTCCAGCCCTGCCCTCAGGGGGATTTTCCTCTTGCAGGGGCAGGAGCCTCTTCCACCTCCTGGGGCAGGTGTGCGCCTTCCTGACTAGCCCGTTGAGTGTTGAGCCTTGAGCCGCAGAGGCTGTGGGCAGGTAGCTCGCTCTTGCTCTTAGAGTGCAGGAGTGATGGAGCTGGCTCTGCAGAAGTTTGGGGGCGACGGCTCTGGGGCGGCTTTGGTACCCCATCCCCACCCACCGTGACTGCATGGGAGGGCCAAGAAGGGGCCTGTTGAGGAGTGACAGGCTCTCAGGCCTTTGGGGGCCACACAGGGCCTCCCTAGATCTCTTGAGACCTGGCTTTCTCTGGCCCAGATCAGGATTGCTGGGGAGACAGGGCATGAAGCAGCTCAGAAACAAAGGCAGGGTGGGAGCGGCCTCTTCCTGGCAGCCAGAAGACCCCCGGACCAGCCCACATCATGTCTCGAGAGTTAAGGGCACAGGAAGATTCACTGGCCCCGTCTGACTCCCATGGGGAGACGGTGTCCCTGGGAGCTGAACCCCGGCTTGTGGACTTGTGCATCTCTGACACCCGCAACATCATCACGTCGCGGGCATTTGGCTCCGTGCAGTTGCCCAGAATTTACCTGGGTTCAAGCTTTGCTTCTAGCAGGACCCCGTCAGGCTGGAGGCCAAGGACCAAGGCCCTCCAGCCGTAGCCGGGGCTCCCTGGTTCCCTCTAATATCTGTTTAATGAGAGCAATTTGGCAACGTTATAAAATATGCTTTGACCCTTTGTCCCAGTAATTCCATTTCTGGGAATCTGGCCTAAGGAAATAATCCTAAATATAGGGTAGAAAAACATGTTTCACAAGGATGTTCATTTCAGAGTTGTTTATAGTAGCACAGAGGAAACAAGGGCTGCCCAGTGGGGGATGGGGAGGACAGTGATTAGATACTTGCCCGGTAGACATTTCACAGCCTGTAAAATCATAATCTCTTGGTGCTTGTTCAGAATACAGATATGCAAATGATGGAACGTTCCATGATAAAAGGGCTACTCGGCATCTACGCTGTCTGACTTTGGCTCTGTTTTATGTGTATGGTAATAAAACAGTCAGGAAGGGAGTACACTGAAGCGCTCAGGGTGCTCTTGACAGGGTTGTATCAGAAAGATTCTATTCCAGATTATCTTTAAGATGTGTTTTTTTAAGTCAGGCTTACTGAGCTATAATTTATATACAGTAAAATTGATCCCTTTTAGTGTGTGGCTCTGGGAGATGTGACAAATGCGTACGGTAAGTAACCATGACCACAGTCAGGACATTTCTGTCACCCTAAAAGTCCCCCATCCCCATTGGTAATCAGCCCCCTTCCTACACCTGTTGCCAGCCACCCCAATCTGATTTCTGTCCCAGTGGTTTTGCTCATCGTGAACCAAAAACCAAACTCACTGCTTTTGAGCCATAGCAACCCCTCCTTGGGTTTCCGAGGCGGTATCTCTACAGAAGTCGAGTGCCCAGTCTTCCTTCTGAGGAATGGCTGGTGGGTTTGAACCACCACTCTTCTGATTAGTAGTCAGATGCCTTAGCCACTGTGCCACCGGATGGTGGCATGGAAGTGCAGCCATGCTGTAGGTCACACACTGCTTTTACCCTTAAAAACAAAACAAAACAAACCTCTAACCTGATTAATGGCCTCTTGGATTGACCTCTTAGAGCTGGATTTTCCTCATGTGGAGGAAAACTTGATTTAATCAAGTCAGCCTTCTGCCCATGCAGGAGCCCTGATGGTGTAAGAGTTAAGCACTCAGCTGCTAACCGACAGGTCAGCAGTTCAAACCTGGCAGCCACTGTGTGGGAGAAAAGGCCTGGCAGTCTGCTCCTGTAGAGATGACAGCCTAGGAGACCCTCCAGGGTCGCTCACAGCTGCAGTCACCACCCCCATGCAGGAACCTCTCTTAGCTGCGACCGTCGCGTTGCCAGTTCTATGTAAAATGGTCCCAGCGGTTGGAAGGGACCAGAGGAGGCTCCTTCTGAAGCTGACGGGCAGTGTTGAGGGGTGTTCGGTCTGGATCCACCCACGTCGCCGCCGGCCACCTGCAGTCTGTCTAGACTCTGGTGGTGGTGGTGGTGGTGGTGGTGGTGGTGACGACGACGATGACTGATGGTGACAGTGACAACAGTGGCAGCAGCAGCAGTTAATCTTGGTGAATAAACTTTTTATTCTTGAATTGCTTTAGATGTACAGAAAAGCTGCAGAGATAGCACCAAGAGTTCCGTGACCCCACACCCAGCCTCCACTCTGGTTACCGCCTTACCTTAGCGAGGTACATTTGGCACAACCAAAGAACCCACATTGACACGTGATAATTAAAGTCCACACTTTATTGGACTCTCCTCGGTGTCCCCCTCATGTCCCATCTGGGACCACACAGCCCTTCTTGGCTGTGGCCCTTTCTTAGATCTTACTTGGTGGCTGTGGTGGTTTTAGAGAGTTTTGCTCGGGTGTTCCGTAGACTGTCCTTCAACTGGGATTTCTCTGGTACCTTTTCTTGGTTAGACAGGGGCTGTCAGCTTTGCGGGAGGAGACCACAGAGAAGGTGTCTTTCTGACAATAGTTCATTCTTCTTGAACTCTTCTTCTGTTCCAGGTGCATTGCTAAACCCCCTTTAATCCCCAGTAGTCCTATCTGTTCACTTCTCATTTCACCACTGGGAGAAACAGGTGCAGAGAGGTATAGTACCTTGCATAAGGTCACACAGTAAGTGGCTCAAACATGAGCACATTGACTCTAAAACTCTGCTTTTAGCCAGTACTGCTCAAACAGTGGGAAAGCAATACCACGTGCTTTATACAAAAGGTCTTCCCCCAAAAGCCATGGTTGCCACTTACGATAAAGGTCACCTGATGAAACCCACAGGTGGACACCCAGGGTCACGAGAAAGAGGAGGCTGAGTGCCTTCCCTCCCCTTCAGTCCTGCATGTCACTGTTGGCACTTGGTGCTGTGGGTGAGCCAGTCAATCCCGATTCTTAGTGACCCTATAGCACAGAGTACAACTGCCCGGTAGGGTTTCCTGGGCTGTCACCTTGATAGGAGCAGATCACCAGGTCTTTTGTGGGTTTGAACCTCTGACCTTTCAGTTGGCAGCCAAACATTTAAGCATTCCACCAGCAGGGCTCCTGGTTAGCAGGTTGTTGTTGTTGTTGTCATGTGCCGTCGAGTCGGCCCTGACTCATAGGACCCCTCCTTGGGTTTCCGAGGCAGTATCACCACGGAAGTAGATTGCCCCATCTTCCTTCCGAGGAGTAGCTGGTGGGTTTGAACCGCCAGCCTTCTGGTTAGCAGTCAAGTGCCTGAGGCACTATGCCACCAGAGCTTCCTGTTAGCAGGTTAGTGAAGTGCATTTCGTGGGGTAGGCCCCCTTCCATTACAGGGTCTCGAGGAGGCTGTGGTGGGAAAGAGAAGTCTCCAGGCTTTCTGCTTGGGTGTCTTGTGTATCTTGTGTGGAACAATTCTTGAAAAATGAGGCCAGTCCGCCACTTGGTTTGGCGCATCAGGTCCCCGGTGGGCGTGATCCACCCTCGTGACTCCCCGGCAGCCCTCACAGCTGGTGGGATTTTAGGAATGGATTTTTATCCCCTGTATTGTTCGGCATAGATGAGTGGCTTTCTGCGTGTATGTGTCTTAGTCCCTGTCCTCTTTTGGGTGGCATTATGGATTGAATTGTATCCCCAGAAAAGACATGTTGAAGTCTTAGCCTCTGCATCTGTGAACGTGCCTTTGTTTGGAAATAGGGTCTTCCTTCTTGAACATACCATCAGTCACTGAGACGATACTGGAGTGGGGTGGGTCCATTCTTGCATGACTAATGACTTGTGAAAGAGGACAGCCACAGAGACAGGTCACAAGGCGGAAGACGCCCGCAAAGATGTATCTGCAGGCAGTGAAGAAATGCCGGGGGATGGCGGGCAGAAGCCAGAAGATAGAAAAGAGGCGTGGATCTGGTTTTTTTTTTCCCTACTCTGGTATGACCTCATGTTAACTGATAACATCTTCAGTGACCTTATATCCAAACAAGGTCATGTCCACAGGCTCCATGAGGTTAGAACTTCAACTTTTGTGTGTGTGTGTGTGGGGGGGGAGGGCACACGTCAAGCTGTAATGGGAGGAAAGGCTTGAGGTGGGAGTGGAACCAGACCACCTGGGGCCCTGTGGATCATGAGTAGGGCTGGCTATGCTTATCAGAGTTCTGGGAGCCCTCGAGCCTGTGGAGCAGGGGAATGGGGTGGGCTGGTGCAATGTGATGCTGGATAGTGGGTGGAGAGAAGGGACGGGGTGGTCCAGTGGAGCATGCCACCGGACGCTGGGTAGAGAGTGGACAAGGGCCGGGGCAGTCCAGGGGAGCGTGCTGCCAGATGCTGGACAGAGAATGGACAGCAAATGGGTTAGTCCAGTGAAACATGGCATCAGATGCTGCGTAGAGAATGGACAGGGGAGTGGGGTGGTCCAGTGGAGCATGGCGCCGGCTGCTGGGTGGAAAATGGCTCTCAAAGAGGGAGAGGAGAGGTAGGGAGACCCATGGGGAAGCTCTTGTTGGCCTCCGGGCAGGAGATGATGACAGCTTGGTAATGGCGGGGGATGGAGGGACCCATGCTCTGCGTGGTGCCGGCCCCACCCCCACCCCAAAATGAGTAAGCACAGCTCTGGCCCTTGAGGTGCCCTGAGTTGAGTCATGATTCTGCCCCAGCAACAGTGGTGGGTCTCCTCCATGGCCCTTCCCCTCCCCACGGTACCCCACTAAGTGAGAAAGTGCACGGTTTCTTTGCTCCCCAGAGTTGCTGAATTTCTGTTCTTGTCATGAGAGGGGAGGGTGTTCTCAGGAGCCTTCTGCAGAGGCTCCGGTGGATGCCTGATCTTGTAACCAATGCATGTTTTTTTTTTTTTTCCTTCTTTTCTCCCTGCAGCCAACTGGGTACATGGAAAACTCCGTTTCCTACAGTGCTATTGAAGATGTTCAGCTGCTGTCCTGGGAGAACGCTCCGAAGTACTGTTTACAGCTCACCATTCCTGGGGGGACTGTCTTACTGCAGGTAGGATCAGTAAACATGAGTAAGCAGTTTCTGCTCCCTCACCCCACCCCCCTCCTCGCCCTCAGAGAAAGTCGGCCAACTGTTAGGAGGAACGGTTGTTTAACTCGGTTTTTTTTTTTTTTTTTTGCTTCAGGTACAATCAGTTGTAAACAGGGGGAAGCCAGAGGGAATGAGCATGCATTGAGCTCCTGCTGTATCCCAGGCAGTCTAGGGGTGTCACATATTGTACTTTTGTTTCTCCTGACAATAATGGTTGTATGATCTCCCAATTTATAGATGAGGAAACTGAGCAACAAGGTTAGTTGTTAGACCCTAGAAACCTGTGAAAAATAAATTAGCAACAAGTTTTGCCGTTTGCTGTGCTTCAGGCGAGGAGCTTGCTTGTTTCTTGTTGGTCTAGGTCTTCTGAGACTCTGGTGGACGTGTGAGCTGTCTCCTTAGAAAAATGCTCATATGTGCTCAGGTGTCCTAGTCAGGACTCTTGGTTGGAAATAGCAAAAATTCTGTTCAAACTAGCAGAGGCATAAGGAGAATCAAATATTGTGTGGATCATAACAAATTACGGGTAACATTGAGAAGAATGGAAATTCCAGAACACTTAATTGTACTCATGAGGAACCTATGCATAGACCAGGAGGCTGTCGTTTGAACAGAACAAAGGGACACTGCATGGTTTAAAATCAAGAAGGGAGTGCGTCAGGGTTGTATCCTTTCACCATACTTATTCAATCTGTATGCTGAGCACATAATCTGAGAAGCTGGACTTTATGAAGAAGAACGTGGCATCAGGATTGGAGGAAGGTTCATGAACAGCCTGTGATACGCTGATGACACAACTTTGCTCGTTGAAAGTGAGGGTGACTTGAGGCTCTTACTGATGAAGGTTGAAGAATACAGTCTGCAGTATGGATTATACCTTAACTTAAAGAAAAAAAAAATCCTCACAACTGGACCTATAAGCAGCATCACAATAAATGGACAAAAGATTGAAGTTGTCAAGGGCTTCATATTACTTTGTTCTACAATCAGCACCAATGGAAACAGCAGTCAGGACATCAGATAACATAGAGGACTGGGCAGATTAGCCGCAAAGGACCTCCTTCAAGTTCTGAAGAGCAAAGATGTCTCCTTGAAGACTAAGGTGTGCCTCACACAAGCCATGGTATTTTCAGTCACCTCATATGCATGTGAAAGCTGGACAATGAATAAGGAAGACCGAAGAAGAGTTGATGCTTTTGAGTTGTGGTGTTGGTGAAGAATGCTGAAACCATGGACTGCTAAAAGAACTAACAGATCTGTCCTGGAGGAAGTGCAGCTGGGATGCTCTTGGGAAGTGAGAATGGCCAGACTTCATCTCACCTACTTGGGTCATGTCGTCAGAAGGAACCATTCCCTGGAGAAGGTTATCATGCTTGGTAAAGTGGAGAGTCAATGAGAGAGGGGAAGGCCCTCAATGAAATGGATTGACACAGTGGCTGCAACGATGGGCTCAAGTATATATAGCAAGGATCATGGAGCTAGTGTGGGACTGGGCAGTGACCCAGTGCATAGGGTCACTATGAGTCAGAGATGACTCAACAGCACTTAACAACAACTGTATGAAAGTACCTGGGACATCTGAGAGGACTGTAGGCATGGCTGGATTCAGGGCTGAAATAATGCCATTCATATTCAGTCTTGAGTATTCATATTCATACCCTGACTCTACTGTTGTGTATCTGCCATGTGGTGGGAAATATAGCTGTTGGCAGCCTCAAGCCACATTCTTGGAGTTAGTAACCCTTAAAAAAGTGAGAACCCTTTTTCTTTCCAGTATCTTTATATAAACTCCCATGGAAGATTCTGATTGGCTCTGCTGCAGTCCTGTGCACCCCTAGGGAAAGCACTGCCCTGGGTTAGGTGCCCACCCTTGACCACAAGGAGCTGTGTCCTGTGATTGGGCCTCCTACCAGGACCACATTGAGGGGCATAGGTAGGTGCCTTAAGAAAGGAGAAGTGGCAGACAAAAATGATTGGGCATATAGCGGCACACCCATAAACATAGGTCCATCATTTCAGGGGGTCCCCCCACATCCCAGTAGGCACCTCCTCACCTGGATGAAACTTGCTTTCCCATCAGTGGGAGGCTGGTGAAACCCACACATGGTTTTCTCTCTTTCAGCCCCCTAAGCCCAAAGAGATGTTCCCTGAAACCTCTTGCAAAAGTGGCCGCTCAGTTATGTGACCTCATTGGAGCCAAGGCTCGCCAGCTGGGGCTCTGGGGGTGCTGGGCGAACAGTGCCACACCGTGTGGGGAAGTCCTCTGGGGGGACACCTGAGCCTGACTCTGGCCAGTTTCTTCCCTTCTGATGCCTTCTGCTCTCAGTCTCCTGTGGGATGTGTGCCCCTCCCCATCTCCCCTCTCCCTGCCATCAGCACAGTCCTGCTCTCCCTTGTGTGCCTGGTTGCTCACTCTCTATCGTGGAGATGGACTCTGCCTGCCCCTGCCACTCTGCCTCTGCGTCCCCCTTGCCTTTTTGATGACTGACACAGTGCAGAGCATCTGGGGGGGCAGCCAGCTGCAGGCTCCTTGGAGCTGGGGTGGGCAGTGGCAGGGGAGGAGGACGATCCCAAGGACTACGAGTCCCGCTGCTGAAGTCGACTTTGCTTCACGGGTACCCTGTGTGAGTCAGAGTGGAGCCACGCTTCATCAGGTTTCCAGCATCTGATTTTTCTAAAGTCCATCACCAGATCTTTCTTCTGAGTTGCCTCTGGATCGACTTGAACCTCCAGCCTTTGGTTAGTGGCCAAGTGTGTTAACTGTTTGCCCCACCCAGAGCCTCCCTGCCCAGTGTTCTTCCTGCCGTTCCTGCACTGAGCCAGCCCCTCCCTGTGCCAGGGAGGTAGGTGAAAACCCCTTGGCCCTATTCTTGAAGAGCTCCTTGGGCCTCTGGGGAGACAGAGCCACAAACAAGTGACTCCTGAGAAAACGGCTGAAATAGAGGCACATCCCAGAAGGACAGGGCCCCAGAGGCCCCTGTGACTCATTGGTTGGGGTAGGGAAGCAGAGAGGGCTCCCCAGGGATGATGACATTAGAGCTGGGCATGGCAGGGAGAGGAGAGGAGGCACACGTCCAGCCAGAGGGAGTGGTGGGTGCAAGGCATGAGTGTGAGGCGGTGTTCCGCAGCTGGAGGGGAGGGCGAGGTGGGGTTCAAGGGTGCGTGGGGTACATCTGGGGCTGTTGGGTCACAGCTGGATCCTAGAGGCCTATTAGCCAAGTGAAGAGTCCACGGGCTATGTCCTGAGGGTAGTAGGGATCCTTGCAAACTCTTGAGGAGTGGGGGGACACTAGTGGGATCAAGGTGGTTGCAAGGCCAAAGGGGAATGCGAGAGACAGAGGGAGGGGAATGCTTGAAAGAGCTTGTAAGGGGAGGTGGGGCCCTGAGCCTCATTCCCTGCAATGTGCTGGGTGGCCACACTGTCCCCAGGAGGGGGCTCCTTGCCTCTGGGGCTGCAGCGGGCAGCCCCTACTCCCTAGGAAGGTGTGAGAATGGCCTGGTGGTGGCATCTAATGTCCTCTAGCCTCACAGGTGGGGAGAGGATCGAGATCAGCAAGTCCGAGGCTGATTCCTGTGAAGCCTCTACTCCAGCCTTTTTACCATTTCTGACACCACTGTCCCTCCAACAGCACTGTATTTCTCTGCTGGGTTCAGTAATTCATTGCAGTGGCCACACAGAACTCACAGACAAAACTCATGATTATGGGGTTTATTAGGGAAGTAACAGGTTACAACTCAGGATCAGGAACACTCAGGATACAGTTCTTAGATCAGGGTAGGTTCCACTCAGCCGTGCCCAAAGGCAGGTCTCTCTCGGCCCTCGGCCCCTCGGCCTGTCCTCTGCCCTGCTCCGGCAAGGTTACAGAGCTCTTTTAGCTTTGCCGATTGGTGCCCAGAGAGGCACCCCACTCTGCCAGCCAGCCTCCTGCCCGAAGGCACTCAGATGCTTGCTTCGTGGGCCAGGAAGCCCACCACTCCATCTCTTGCTGGTCTCTTGGTTCTGCTGCCACCATTTCTCTGCCACTTTGTCACCGTCTCTGGCGTAGCTCTCTGTCTCCTGGGTTGAGGAGGTTCAGCGCAGGGATCTCAGGTCCAAAGGTCGTGCTCCATTCCTGGCTCTTCTTTCTTTCTTTCTTTCTTTTTTTAATTGTGATTTGGGTGAAAATTTACAGAGCAGATTCACTTTCCATACAGCAGTTCATGTACACTTTGTCTCATGGCATTGACTGCAATTTACCCCAATGCAACAGCTCCCCTCCTACTTCCTCCCCATAGTTACTGCTTCCCTGTGTCCTTCCCTCCGTGCACTCCTGCCCCCTGACTGGCTCCTCTTTCTTGATGGTAGTGATGGCTCTGGATGGCTCATTTTAAGCCTAGGGAGATGGCACAACTGACCAGTCCCCCGTAAGGATTCCATATACCTTATATGGACGGTCCCGCCCCCACAAGGGTGCCATGCACCTCACTGGCATTATTAACGAACTGTCCATTCCCCGTCTTGGGCCACAAGCACCGCATATTTGCATAGTTCCACCCAGTCATCTGGAGCTCTGGTGACATAGTGCCTAAGGCATTTGACTACTAGCCAGAGGTTGGCAGTTCAGACCCACCAGCCACTCTGTGGGAGGAGGACTGGGCAGTCTACTTCCGTAAAGATTTGCCACCTCAGAAACCCAAAGGGGGTCTCTGGAGTCGGAATTGACTCCCTGGTGGTGAATTTGGTTTGGTTTTGGTACCCAGTCATCTGGTGGGAGTCACAAAGACCATGGCTAGAAGGACCATACTGCACAAGTCACTGCACTGCAGGAGGCCAGAGCCTCAGGCCCTCCGCTCCCTTCCCCTCCCCCTGCTGACAGAGGGACAGTGAGGCTGTGAGGTCAGGTGACCTGGGCAGTGCTGGGAATGTCCCTTTAACCGAGCCTTGGCCAGGGCCCGGCTGTGTGACCCGCCTGCCTGGCCGG